TTGCTACTAGTAGCGCTTTGCTTTGCTCCTAGTAGCGTTCTTGTTCCTCGTAGTAAGGCCAGGAGCTACTAGTAGCGTCCTTACTACTAGTAGCGATGCACTTGTTACTAGTTTTTTTGTTTCTTTTTTCCTTCTGCGAGTGTCCATCGAGGCGGAGCGGCGGAGCCCATTGAATTCCCTTCAGGGTGACCTGCCATCCTTTGTGGCTCATTGCAGGGTCTGTCAGGTTGGTCGTTTGGTGGAAGAAAAGCTCTCTGTGGGATGGCCCAGTAGAATCTTTAAAGGCCCTCTTCCTCTAGGCGGGAAGCATTCTTTTGGAGCTTTATTTGACATGAAAGTTCCGAGTGTCCAGTGCAGTATTACGAGCGGCTACGCTCCTCATGACTAGGAACAAGAACGCTACGAACGGAGTGCTGTTGTGGCAGAGGGCCGAGACTGCTGTTGTTCCGTGCCAGCGATCGGCCCAAGAACGCTGGCATCGCACCGAACGATCAGTGATGGTCTGTTCAGGTCCTTTCCCCAGAAGTTCCAATGACTACTCCACCTAGTAGTCATAATCCACCACGATAATGGGGGTAAAATGAGTCATGACTGGGCTCTCATGTCCTTTCCTTGTCGCGTTTTGGGCACCGAACGAGCAAGCACCCGCAGGAGTTCTTAAAGGAATTGGAACTCCTCACGCGCGAGAAGATCTGTGGCATCGTATCGGAGCTCTTCAGCTGCTGTCACGCTGAGGTGCCGCGATCGTCGCGGAAGTTCCGACGCCGTCGGGTTCGTTGGTCTCGAAGTGGTGCTGCAGTGGATAAGTCGGTGGCTCCCAGGACCCGCTCTAGTCGGCCCGAGCAGGCTAAGGCTCAGACAGGGTGTCTATGACTAACCCGGAAAAAGTGTTACCCTTGGTGTCGACGTGGAGTCCCGAGTCCCGGTTCCTGCGTTTGAGGTTGGGTTGGAGCTCCGAAGGTCGAAGAGGGAGAGGAAGAGACCAGGAGTTGACGTCATCAGAGGGTGGGTTGACTGAAAAGACTGGGGACGTTTGGTTGACTGAACATGAATAGAATATGACAGGAGACATGGTCAATTTCCCCATGCCAGCAACAACTCTTCGGCTAAGATTGGTTGGAACAGAGTGAATGACCTGTTCCCAACATGGATCTAAGACTTTATGCCCCACTCAGCCTCTGGTTCTTCATAATATGTTGCTATGTCACCATGCCATACCATGCCAGTCTCTTAAATAAAGACTGCACCTTCCTCTACTTCTCTTCCACCCGATCGGAGGCCAAAAAGTGGCCTCTCACCTCACATCGCTCAGTTCGCGCACCGAACAGCGAGGCGAGCGCGGCTTTCGGCTTCGCTGGTTTCACACCGCGCCGCAGGCGATGATCGCGGGGAATCAAACGCCGGAGGATGCACAGAAGCTGGTACGAGACCTGGAGGCCGGCGCATGCGACGACGCGCAGTTACCGCGGCGGTTCGGTTCGGGGCATGGGCGGAATCGGGTGGGGCGGGTATGGGATGTTCACCGGTGTGGGAGCTTGCGAGCTTGTAAGCGTTGGACTTTCGGGTGGGATTGAAGTCCATGCGTTCTTTTTTTTTTTCTGTTTCTGCGCATGTAGACAATACAGACTTGTTCAGTCTTCGTGCCACGAAGAGACAGAAAGAGCAGACTATAGGTTGTTGAGCAACCCAAATGACCCAAGATATGATAAGCAGGGTCTACCAGGTATGTCAAGCTATGGATTTTAGGAATCATATGTTAAATGGTATGATATGGTACGATGCGGTTTTCCTAGCCTTCTAAGACCATTACTGTAGAAAAGATGATGGTTGGCCTGCTTTCGTAGTCTAAAATCACAGCAAAACAGCGGTTCTTAACCATGAAATCAATGGTCATTGAACTCCCAGACATATGACAGCTCTAGTCTACCAGATATGATGAGATGGTATGATAGCTATACCAGGTATGAGATGATTCCACACAGAACCTTCTCTCCTTCTCTCCTTCAGAACTCCAGGAGACCCTCAAGATCCCCAGTCCGGACACCTGGAGGTGGTGGTGGTGGTCTTAAGAAGACCCAGGTCTTTTAGCACCTGCACCATTACCCTGGCCATTTCTGACTCTGACTTCTATTGCCATGTTACGTTTCTGAGACTCCGAATCGGCTTTGCCCACCAATTCGGGTTGGGCTTCCTCCTGGTTTGAGCGCCCGTGCAAAAAGCGGCGTCGACTCGCCATACGTTTATATAGGTGTCCCCTCGTTGGGTCTTCAACGCGTTCCCAACAGAAGTGCATCTAAGGCACACCAATCCCAATGCCCCCAAGAGAAACAACCATGAGATGACAGCCCTTTTGGCTGGGTCTTGGTTCTTATGTTGGCTGACTTCCTCAAGATTCGGTGCCACATGTCTTTACTTTTTGCAGGCCTTATTGAGGGACGGTCACGACCAACAGCACCCTCGTTTTGGGGGCTTCCAACAAGCCCTCTGCCCTCTGCCCGGAACGTTGGTGGATGATTGGTCTACTCTTAAAAATTCTGGACCCTCCACCCCCTTTATCTGCAGCTGCAGACCATTGAATTCCTATTCGTGCTGTTTTTTTTGTACACCGATCCCGCCAACCGCGGGGCAGCGAGCTGTTGCGGTCCCGCCATGGTGGGCTTTGCAGCTCTTGCCAGGCACCATGCAGGAGCTGAAAACGATCGAAGAGGCCCGGAATGTTGATCGAACATATTGCAAATGAAGAGGCGAAGACAAGGACTGGCTGGCAGGCCTTGAGGCCAGTTTTTGCTCCGGTGCTGAGGTTTGAGATTGCTGGGTATTTGAAGTTAAGACGAGACGTTTGAGTTGGCCTGATTTGACTCTAAGACTCCCAAGCCGCGGATGGCAAGGGAACCCGGATGCTCAAAACCTGAGTTCTGCTTCGACGGCGATCCGCTTCATCTCTCTCCACCCTCCTGGTGCAGCTCCTGGTGCTCTCCCTGACCGGAACTCTTTTTTTTCCCCAATTCCCAAGTCCAAGTCCACCCCCTCCGACCCCTGCTCCCTTCGTCCCTTCACCGGCATGCTTCGAGCCTTCGTCCCTTCGTCCCTTCACCGCCTTCGTCGCCGGCTTCGTCGACGTGGGGTGCGTCCAGGCCGCCGTCCCCAGCGGTCGCACGCTGTGGAACTTGGAGAGCACGGATAAGGACCGCTCACCGAGGTCGCGCAGGGCTCGACTGAGAGCACCTCTGCTTTGACCAACTGAGCGCAGGACTCTGCACCTGGAAGATGATCGAAATGAGCCGGTGAGAAGCAAACATCTGAGGTGACCTTTCAAAGCCCACCCCACCAAACATGAGGCAAGACTGTGAGACCATTTTGCAGCATCCCAGGCTTCAAGCATTTCACACTCGCAGCTGAACACAAGTACTTGACGAGGTGATGCCGCAGTTCAGGATTGTCTGCCAGACCTGGTCATCCAACGTTCTCCGACACCAGGGTCAGGCAGCCTATTCCACCAATATCATCCAATATATCTATATACCCAATCTGGACGTTTCGCCCAACCCCACCATCTACCAATGACTCCGGCGATTGGACGGAGTTCCCCTTGGGAAGACGGGTCCTGTCGATCGCCCGTCGATCAGCGTCGGACCATCGACGATCCTCCTGCGCGAAGCACGTTGGGAGGACGACCCGAACCACGCGGTCGTGGCGAAGTGGCAACTGAGCCGAGGAGCAAGGGAAGTTGGGTCTTCGAGAGAAGGCCTTGGAGGCTGATCCAGACAGAAAGAAGCAGGTTTCGAGATGGTTCCGATGGGTTTTGGAGTTTGGTACCATCCAATGGCCCTGCACTACTCTCCAGGATCTCCAGCTAGGACACCCAGACAGGATGGTCATTTCTTTTCCTCTACTAATAAAGCTGATTTGCCAAAGGGTGATGAGATTCTTTTCCTCAGGTTGGGGCTCTTTTGGCAGATGTCAGAGGAGGAAAGGTGGGATAGATATATCAATTTGAGTGATTGATACCAAGACAAACCAGCCAACCTGGCAAATGCCAAGTCTACCTGAATTCTTGACTAACTTAGGTGACTTTACTCAGCCACAACCTCTCACCGGAGTTGCATGCTGCTTCATCTCATCCCTAGGCTTCCAACCACCATTAATTCAATAACCTTACCACACCAGGTCTACCGTTTGAAAAATGGTCTTGGAAGCCTAGCGTCATTGATGTTGGACTTTGCTCTGGAGAACCCTCCGGAGTTGGTTGAACGATCTTCCACTTCCGGCACACCCCGCAGCACATGATGAATGAGGATAGGCCAAGGGGGGTTGTGGGAGGTTCTGGCCACACAATGGAGGTGTTCTGGCCACCCAATGGAGGGTGTAACACTTGACTTGACCCTCCTTGGAATTGCACAGGTTCTTCCTTCAGACATGTTCCATTCGTTCCGCTCCAAGTCGGGAACCTGGATGTACGAGTTATTGCCCACCGGGGCATACAAATCGGCCGCACCGTGCGGCCGATTTGTAGGAGTGCGAGAAGCTTGCTTCCTGCAGATTGTCAACAAGATCTTGAGCCCCAAGTTCTTCGATATTCTCAGGACCTGGATCTCTCTCTCTCCCCAGCGACTTTGAGACTTTGCGGTATTTGGAACCTCTGGACACTTCCAAACGCTGCACGCTTCGCTTCGTTGGGACGCCGAGTGCGCGAGCGGCGCAGATGGGTGGTGTGACCCCCTCATGGCCGCGAGCCGGCCGAACCGGCCGTTTCCGAAGCTTAGAGCCGGACTCGTCACGTAAGACACCTGTGGATGTGTTTCGGGATGGCAGGACTGGTCACCTGGACCCTGAAGATTCATCCGTGGTTTCGATCATGTTCTGAAGACCAAGCCAGTGGTTTTTCTGTCCATGTCGATCTGGAGGTCATGTGGATTCGAAGTTTCGGGTGAATCTGGTTCGAGCAGAAACAGAGTGAAGGCACCACCAGCGCCCAGAGTGAATCGATCCATCAGGACACAACAGCAACTGGGATATGTGGTGGGCCAGGCTCCCAGTCATCCAGACAAATAGGAGACCATGATGTAGCTAGTGTCGAAGTTCTTGCTCCCAAAAACATAATCAGAGTTCTTGGACAGCTGGCCTTGCTGTGACAAGAAGTACTGAAGAAGAGTTCTTGCTAGTGTCAAGTCCTTGAAGAAGAGTTCTTGGACTCCTGTCTTTCTTCAGCGATGCTGGCCTCCTCCATCAGACTGCCCATGTCGACTTCGGTCGAAAGGTCCGCCGGTCGCACGGGCACCGGCACCTCGCGGACGCACGTTTTTCGGGACGCTCGTCAGCGGGGTCTTTCCTTTGGTTGGCTCGGTTCTTCATTTGCATCGGATGGCTTCTTTCCTCTACCGGAGCCTCTACCGGAGCCTCGCGGCCTCTAGACGCGCTCGGATGTGGCGTCTACTGACCAAGGCATGGGAATCGGCCCCTCGACGCACTTCAACTTCCTCACAGCCCAGGCCGAAGGGTTCAGCTTGGAACTCACTTGTGTGACATGCACCATGGTAGTCACGGGGAGCACATTTTGGACAGTCGCTGGGATTGGTCTACCACCCAGCCCTGCAGCGGTTTTGCTTGACTTGAAGTGTAGATCTTTTCTTTCGTACTAGTCAGCCTCTGAAGACTCGGGTCTGGGAGGGTGGATCCACTGAAGAGGGAAACTTCTACCTTGGGAGCTTTTGGTGCAAGGTTGTGCTTTTGGTAATCTGGACACTCCAGAGAGTGACATATAGTGACATGCCTTGAACACATGTAAGAATCACTTGTAGACCTCCTAAGGGATTTAGCTGAAAGACTTCGGGCAGGGCCAACACCAAAGAGGCGTCCCCCTTTCGGGAGTCACATGGTGAGTTTGAACCAAGCCATGATGTGTTCTTGAAGGAGTCCGAGGCTGGTTTGACCAAGCCAGGTTGCTTCATGGACACTTCATCCGTCCATGCGCAGACAGCACAGATTAAGACAACCCAAGCGTTCTGGTGGACCACAAAACAAGAGGTTGACCTGCAGGTGTTGTAGTCTAAAATCCATCGAACACCCAAGGCAGTTTTGTCCCATGAAATCAATGGCTCGGTCGTCCAATCCAAGCGGTTTGTGAAGGCTCTTGGGGTCGATATCCATGTTTTTTTTTTCACGCGCACCACACGAACCCAAGCATTTCTGGAGATGGAGCTGAGAGAGGGGTTTCTCCACCTTGGCTGAAGCAACAAATATCTTCCACTTCATAGACTTGTGATCTCACACTTCGGGTTTCCTCTTCCTGGAACCTGTTTGGAAAGAACTCTTCACGGCATCTATCCGGGGTGGGTCTCAAACCCCCTGTTTGGCGTCACGGGGATCACGAGAAGCCCGGAGGGGCATGTGTCCGCAACCGAGTAGATGCCAGACGACTGAGGTGCAGACGGAGTTCCCTCCGGACTATGTGCGCTCACGCATCGATGCCTTTTTCGAAGAGCACTTCAAGTGGTTGGAGGAGATCCGAAAAAGGAAAGCATTGTGGAACCAACCGCGCAAGATGTCTGTGCTTCCTTCTCGGGGATGAGACAAAACAGCGTGATCAAAGGATCTGATAACCATTCTTTTGCCACCCCCTGGCTCCAGGAGGGCTTGGAGGAGGAGGAGTTCCAGACATGTCTGAAGGGTGACGCTTGGCTGGAAGTTGTTAACTGAGGATCAGCTTGGATTGTCCTTCCAACCATCGCTGCTACAGAAAAACGCGTATTTGGCGTCGAGACTCACCGAACACCGATTTGAGCAGCTACTGATAGAGCCTGCTTGACCATGGGTCAGGTTACCCGGGCTCGAACGAAGCCCATCCACGGCTCGTGGGGAAGCATCATCGCAGCTCGCTGAGTAGGTCACTGGTCCAGCTCGGGCGAGCCTCACCGGATGTCGGGAGTAGCTTCCTGTGAATCACTGGTTTGGCTCAAGATGTCGAACGCGGCTGAATCACCGAGACAAGGAACCCTTCGCACCTCTGAGCAGCTTCCTGAGCAGCTTGCTCCGTCTGAAGAAGCTCTGTGCAACATCCGGCTTGGCTTCTCCCCATGCAGAAACATCATTCCTATCGCTCAATATTTGCTTGATGTCTGCCAGATAGTATAATATGCTATCACCAGGTTACCATCTGCAGTCTTGTGTGGTGTCAGGAGCATGAGGGTTTACTATATATCATTTCCTTTTTTTCAGACCAGCCAGCTGTAAGTGGTTGGGGCACAGATGGTGCAGGTGGGTCCAAAATGGTGTAGTTTGTTGTAGTATCAGACAGACTGGACATAATATGGCCCATGGCCGTCTGTCAGGTAGAAGAGTTTGAATGGTTAGAACTTTAGAGCGAATCATTTTTCGTTTGGTTGGTTTGTGACGGGCCGATTTTATTCGAAGGGACCAGGCACGCAAATCGACTGTGACTTGCGCATGGATGGATTCAGCACACCAAGGCCCTGTCAGAGCTGCAGATGAAACCAAAGAATCTCTCAGAAGAGTGGGGCAGCCCAAGGGAGTGTTTCATCAGAAGGGCCTTGAGCGGCCAGATGCGAGTGGATTCCAAGCAGACCATCAGAATCACCTGGACATGTGGGAAACCAGAGTTCACCCCTGGACCGTTTGGCCTCCGGCCTGAAGGCGGAGAAAATCCCAACAAAACGAAGGCTAAGGAATCAATTTCGACGCCTGCTTTCCCGGGTCATGTGTGTTTCTTTTTCCCCAAACAGTTTACTGTTAGGGGTTCTCAATGCTTTAAAGAATGGTCGCCTTGGTGCTGGATGGTCTGGTCGGGTTCCCGGCCGGCTTGTCTCCCACTTCCTTTCATTTGTCTCCCAGTTCTTTTCATTTGTCTCCCAAGCTGGGTGCTTGTGGTCGGGTTCCCGGCTGGCTTGTCTCCCACTTCC